GAATCCGCGACCATCGGATTTAAAGCGGTGTGCTAGACCGCTATACAACCGAGGTCGTCAAATATGTATATGTAATCCAATATAGGTTAGTATTGTTTTTTTTTTAATTAATCAAGACAAAACTGGATAAAAAAATTACAATATCAGTCAGTTACTTTATTGAACGCGAAATACGCAATTATAATTTTGTTAGTGTATAATTCATAAGTATTTATTGACACATGTCAAAGACTAAAATACAATGTCATTGTATAGAAATTATTTTCCAGAGTAGATTCACCGCGGACCACAGTTTGGGAACCACTGCTCTGCACTAACAATAAAGCTACGTATTATATACCTTACTTGTGTGAAATACAAGGATATTTGTTTGTTTGTGGTTTTTCATTACATAGTAGAAAACAAAGTCGCTGTCGCCGTCTGTCCGTCCCTATGTATGCTTAGTTTTCATATACGAAATATTCTGTAGCCTTCGCAAGTTCTAAACATGTTACTTGTCGGTTCCTATTTTATTATTAGTAGTAACTAGCCATCGAAAGTAATAATTGGTATATGAGAACTGGCCAAGTTAGACCTTAGGCTACAGTATATTATCCTAAGTTATAAGAAGAAATGATATTTTATATTGTTATAAATACATTTCAGGACAGACCATTGAACTTGGTACCCATTTAGATCTCATCTCTTTTGTCGTAGAAGTCAACAATCAAGGCATATATCATAATATTAAACTCGGCTATCATTTCACATTTATGTTTTTGATGGGATTATTATTACAAGACGTTTAACCTTAACACAGATTATAAATATCCACACAAGTCACAGATAGAACAAAGAAAAAATAAATTGAATTTATTTCTTTAACTGCGCTCAATTGCGTCACCGTAAATTTCAGTTAAGCAAACTAAACCATTGATTAACCCATAACTTTAACTTGCAGGCGAAATGTAACTGTTATTTATAACCTAAAGATTTTTTTTTAACACAGGGGACAAACGAGCTTGCGTCTCACCTGATGGTAAGTGATTACCGCCGCCCATGAGCACCCGCAACACCAGGGGAATTGCAAGTACGTTGTCGGCCTTTTAAAAAGGAATAAGCTCTTTTCTTGAAGGTTTCAATATCGTATCGGTTCGGAAATACCATTGCTGGAAGGTGATTCCACAATGAGGTTGTGCGAGGCAAAAAGTTTCTAGAAAACCGCACTGTGGAAGACCGCCATTCATCCAGATGATCAGGATGGTATTTATGCACGGTCAGTATAATCGATCAATGTTGTCTAAACTAATATAATAGAAAATCATTTATTCAAATAAACTTAATTTAAGCACTTTTGAATAGTCAACATATTTTTGTAAATCTTTATTCGGAAGACTGTCTCATCACAAAAAGAATAAGCAAAAACTTGTGTGTCATAAGCTCTTTTAAACAATCCTTTTTGTAAATTTAAATTTGTACAAGTGAACGGAAAACAAAAATGTTGATACAAAAAACTACCAACCAGCGGCTAAAATGTCACTAACAAATTATTTTTGTTGTAGATTGTCAAATATGAAAACACAATAAAAATGATTAAATCACGTCGTAGTGATAAGAGTGAACAATATAGTGTTTTTAATTTTACAACAGTAACAAAAATGTTGATACAGAAAACTTGAGGTTCATAAGCGGCTAAAATGTCCTACATGAACAAATTATTTTTGTTGTAGATTGTAATTTGTACACTGAACTGGACAGTAACAAAAATGTTGATACAAAAAACTTGACGTTCATAAGCGGCTAAAATGTCCTACATGAACAAATCATTTTTGTTGTAGATTTAAATTTGTACACTGAACTGGACAGTAACAAAAATGTTGATACAGAAAACTTGACGTTCATAAGTGGCTAAAATGTCCTACATGAACAAATCATTCTTGTTGTAGTTTTTAATTTGTACACTGAACTGGACAGTAACAAAAATGTTGATACAAAAAACTTGACGTTCATAAGCGGCTAAAATGTCCTACATGAACAAATGATATTTGTTGTAGATTTTAATTTGTACACTGAACTGGACAGTAACAAAAATGTTGATACAAAAAACTTGACGTTCATAAGCGGCTAAAATGTCCTACATGAACAAATCATTCTTGTTGTAGTTTTTAATTTGTACACTGAACTGGACGGTAACAAAAATGTTGATACAGAAAACTTGACGTTCATAAGTGGCTAAAATGTCCTACATGAACAAATCATTCTTGTTGTAGTTTTTAATTTGTACACTGAACTGGACGGTAACAAAAATGTTGATACAGAAAACTTGACGTTCATAAGTGGCTAAAATGTCCTACATGAACAAATCATTCTTGTTGTAGTTTTAATTTGTACACTGAACTGGACGGTAACAAAAATGTTGATACAAAAAACTTGACGTTCATAAGCGGCTAAAATGTCCTACATGAACAAATCATTCTTGTTGTAGTTTTTAATTTGTACACTGAACTGGACAGTAACAAAAATGTTGATACAGAAAACTTGAGGTTCATAAGCGGCTAAAATGTCCTACATGAACAAATAATTTTTGGTATAGATTTTAATTAAGTGCTATATAAAAATCCTCCGCTGTCCTAAGCTATAGTTACACAACATTAGTATAAAACACGGTGTACCTATATGTATACTAGTGACTAACTACTGGTACAATTATTATAATTCAATTCCATATTATTTTTCTATAACTTACATGATTAATGCAAAGATGCGATTAATTACGTAAGTTATTTCCAACCAAAACTTTAAATTACATAGATATTATGTAATTCATATTGTTATAGCACATTTTTTTTATATCGTTACATAATGAAAATTTGTTAAAATTTAAATATTGTTCGATGACCTTTGAAATTGGTTATCCGGATTTTCGATTATACGGAAAACCCCGGTTTTAATTGATCCGGATAATCGGAATTCTACTGTAACAATAAGAGTAACATTGAACCGGTGGTTTTACTGTTATTGATTCATTATTATATTTAACTACATTGTGAAACTGTTTGTATCCCAAATAAAATAAATGAATGCTACATCAAAGTTGATGCGGTACATTATACAAGATTTTTACTAATTTTTCCATTGACATCCAGCCTAATTAGTATTCAATTTTTATGGCTAAACAACAGCAGATAATGAAAAAATAAAAAGTGAAATAAACTTTTATATAAAACATTTTTTCATATTACTTACCGTTATCGAGTTATTTTGAAAAATGGCGTTTCACATCCCTTTTTGTAATTTTCATCCCTTTTCCTTAACTTCAATCAAAATTTCTTTCTGAACTAACTAACTCACGTATTTGCGAAGTTATCTTTATATATTGCAAAAAAACTGGTCACATCATGTTTAATTTCAAAATTTTACTGAACTACATTGTCACGACCAATATTTGTCTATTCCTTATTATCATTTTTACAATACAACTTCAAATTGCAACTGAATTTACAATAATCCAATATACCACTACTACAAAGTGACTTATCAACTAAATAAATGCTATATGCTTTGGTTAAATAAATATTAAAATAAATTAATTAATAAATAATTCACACATTTAGTTAATTTTTAACTTCCGTGTTTAACGATTATTTAAATTATTAACCGGGTCTTAACACGGATAATTTTATGGTAAATAAAGGTGTTTACCTCTCTCGACGTTTCGACTAGAAAACTGTTGCACACCGTGGTACAATGACATCGCTGTTGGTCCAGCGATGTCAAAAGTAACGAACATTTATGTTCTACCGTCACTAGATTGTTTAACGAAAGTTCGCGACACACAGCTCTCACGGTATCCGTACAAAATTGATTGACTGTTGATGCTACTGAACTTTGCTAATTTATTTATGATTGCATTCCACGCAGATGAAATTTTAAGCCATCCTCTCTGTTGAAATTGACACAAATTTTAATTTCAATCGTCTCTGAACGCGGACCATTCGTGGGTAATAGTGGCGATCAGTAGAGAGTCCTCTTAGGATCGCATGTAGTTCAATCCAGTGATTTGTTCCAGCGTTCAGTAGACGATCGGCAATCGCTGATTTGTGTGGTTGTTTTTAACCGCTGCGATGTGCTCTTTGACCATTTCAGCTATTGATCGTTTTGTTTGACCAATATAAGAGCTACCACAACGACAATCAATTTTGTAGACACCTAGAGCTTCGTAAGGTAACATCCTTTGGTGAACATAAATGTTCGTTACTTTTGAGGGTGAGCTGACTGGACTAACAGCGATGTCATTGTAAATAGGTGATAGCAGTTTTCTCATCTACCCTCGAGAGAGGTAAATACCTTTATTTACCATAAAATTATCCGTGTTAAGACCCGGTTAATAATATAAATAAATTTACTTGTCATATAAGACTATATAATACTGTAAAACATTGCTAAATTCCTTTACATATGTGATAACATCGACTTAAGAGAACTATTTATATTAATACCCATAATAATTCATGCCTTATGAGGTATGAACAACAATTTGGTCACTTTCTCACAGGGATATTAAGAGCTAGTCCTATCCTGCGACTTTGTCTCCTTTTCAATTAAAAAGTAGTCCATCCTTGTGATACAATATATTTGCATATATTTTATTAACATCAATTTTGCTGATTAATCGTGAACGTGTGATAGACAGACTGAAATGTATTTATGTTATATATAAAGTCTCTGTCACAATGTTAGTTACTATACTCCTCTGAAAGGGCTTGATCGATTTTTATAACATTTTATATGCATATTCAGTAGGTCTGAGAATCGGCTACTATTTTTCATACCCCATGGTGATATATGATATCCGGCGGCCGGATATCCGGCGGAACTTAACTATTAAAAATAAATAACTTTATATAACAGTAATTTCTTTAACAGTGAATAAAAAATTTAAACTTTAAACTAATTTTATTCCTTATGTAATACTAAGACTAACTATATAAAGCAAATAATTATTTAAAAAAGATTTTTTTTAATAGGATAGGATAGGCATCCGGCCGAATAGTAGTTATCCGGTATTCGGCCGGATATTAAGGCCGCCGGATAGGCCGGATACCGGATAGTTACCGGATATCCGTTTCATCTCTAATTTATTGTGATCACTTTTTGTAATTTCTGTCTCATTTCACTTTCTCTAGGATAGATAGCCATTTTTATTTATGGTATTGTCTATGAAATACACTTCAATCTACATTATGGTATTAAATAGTGTTGAAATTGACTTATTTTGTTTATAAATAAAGATGTATTTTTTATGTACTGGACTACCGTTACCAATGTGCTTGGGGTTGTTCTAGCGGCCATGTTGCGGTGCACGCGCCGCAGTTCACAGGAGGGTGCACTTGCCGAACTTCCTGCGACGTCGCTGCTTCTCCTCTTGCTGTGGGTGGTTTCTTATGATTCGGACCAACTGATGAAGAAATATATTGTTATAATTTTGACGCCCCGGGTGCTCTAGCGGTTTAATACACCGCTATAATTTCGATGGGAACAGGTTCGTTTCTACGCACGGTACAAACATTTGTTTACAATACTAATATAAACATTATAATTATGAATGTTACGTATGTATGAGTATTATTGTTTGGATAGGTTTTGGTTTTTTTTCTTCTATACATATAAATAAAATTGGAGTGTCTGTTTGTAATATTGAAATAACCGTTTTTTACTACATGCATATGAATATAAATAATAAAAAAGTAAAAGTAAAAAATGTTAATTTGGTATGTACATAATAAATTTAAGTAGCTGTGACGTGGTCGATTGGAATGAGTAGTCATGCTCACTAAAATGTCCAGACATGTGGCGGCGTGGTGGGCCGGGTCATTGGGCTCCCTAAAATATGGTCGAGCGCAGTGATGGCTGGCTCATTCGTTATACTCGTGAACGAGTGCTGCTTGTAGGGACTGGTCTGCTCTTATCACTATGACTGATTTAATCTTATTGTATATTTATATTTGACCTTAATAAATTAGTGCTGGTTAGTAGTTTGTATTCACACGTTTCGACTTGTAAATGTAAACTTACAAGGATTATTTAAAAGAGCAACACACAAGTTTCTCGCTCGTTCTTCTTGTGATGAGACAGCTCTCTGAACGAGTGGTAGATAAAAAAAAATTGTTGACTATTCAATAGTGCTTAAATTAAGTTTATTTGAATAAATGATTTTCTATTCTATTCTATTCTACTATTACCGCTTTATTGGATGTCGTGCACAATGTTTTGACAGCTGTAGATAATGAAAGACTCACTATATTAAGTTATAATAATGCTACGAACAATATATGAAAATATGGAGTTTCTTAAAATAACGAATTTGATATGATTTTTTTTACACCTTTGTTACCTGGTACCTGCCAAAGGAACCACGATCCAGGTTTCATGTTTGGGGATCGTTCTCACCTGTGTTGGGGACACACATACAAGAACTTTCACGTTTACTAAAACGACGTATGTCTGGCCGTCGTGGGCTCTTGGGCTATAATTTTAAATGTAAACAAGAGTGGTTAAATTAAGTTTATTTGAATAATTGATCGTCTAGTGGTACCTCGTGGAAGGCTGCGTCGATGTTGAGCGGCGGTTCCTTGGCGCTGGTCTCGACGTAGGGCGCGTGGAGGCGCCGCGCCAGCTCGCGGCCGGCCTCCTCGGGGACGACCCGCGCCGCCACCAGGTCCACCTTGTTGGCCGCCACCACCATCGGGTACGACTCCCTGACCACCACACACTCCCAATTTAAACATTTTTTTTTCTCAGACACACGTTTCTACTTAACATACTCCATTTATGGTATGGGTTCCAGGGAGTCATTGCGAGAGTGTTTTAAGGAATCAAATATCCTCACCGTTGCTTCTCAATACATTTATGAAAATATCATGTATGCCAAGAAGAATATAGACAGTGTCAAAAGAGTTAGTGATTGCACTAATAAAAGCTTACGTAACAATAACAAACTGATTTTACCTAAATGTCGTTTGGCTAAAGGTAGTAATTCGTTTTATGGCAATTGCATAAGGTTTTACAATAACATACCACAGTCTGTTATAAATCTGCCAATAAAAAGATTTAAATGTCAAATAAAACAGTTCCTTTGCGAAAAAACTTACTATAAAATTGAAGAATTCGTTAACGATAATAATGTTTTTATGGAAAAACTTTAAATCCATAGCACTGACAATATTATCTGATTACATTAATAATGAGTGCGTAGCGATTCCTATGTTGATTATCACATCCCTCTTACTTGTTATACTGTAATAATTAATTAAAAAAACATCTATTAAAAAGAGCAACACACAAGTTTCTTGCTCATTCTCCTTGTGATGAATCTGAGTTCCGTATGAGTGGTTCATCAAAAGTGCTTGTAATGAGTTTATTTGAATAATAATTTCTATTCCCTATTTCATAATAATAATAATAATAATCTCAGGACAATTTACACAATGCCATCTAGACCCAAGTTAAGCTAGCTAAAGCTTATGTAACTAGGGTACTAGATAACTAATACAAAATACATAGATATTTTTTTTCGTAAATAAATACATATTATACATAGAAATCACCCAGATAGAAACAATCATAGTCATGAATACATAAATCAATAAAAAAAATTGCACATATATAAACTTTTTTGTTTATTGCATGTGTAACGGCCCGTGTATTATATTAGAAGTATATAGTTATTATAGAAGTATAGTCTTTGGAAATAAAACCTTAATTCTGTTAAAACTTATAATTGACTATATAAACACATAAAAACCATTCATTGGGTGCACGGAAAGAACTGATGGGACGTTGTTGAACGGAAACCGCGCTGTAAGAGTACCGCGTTATAGGAGGGCTGTCGCAATTTCAGCTCCGCGTTATATGGAAACCGCGTTCTGAGAGTACCGCGTTATAGGAGGGTTGACTGTACATAGATATTTTTTTCGTAAATAAATACATATTATACATAGAAATCACCCAGAGCGATACAAACAATCATAGTCATGAATACACAAATCATTTTAAAAAATTGCACATACATAAACTTTTTTGTTTATTGCATGTGTAACGGCCCGTGTGATTATAGGTCTTTGGCTATTTGTATAGTGACCTGTCCTTGACCCTGAGGATCTGCGTGTGGAAGTGTCGGATGTTCTCGTAGCTCTGCTGTTTGTATAGTGACTGAAATACCACACCACTACACATTGACCCTGAGGATCTGCGTGTGGAAGTGTCGGATGTTCTCGTAGCTCTGCTGGTCAGTGACGGAGTACACCAGTAGGAACCCGTCTCCCTTGCGCATGTACTGCTCGCGCATCGCGCTGAACTCCTCCTGACCGGCCGTATCCAGAACTGAAATACCACACCACTACACATCAACATACATCTGGATTGGATTGGATTGGATTGGATTGGATTGGATTGGACTTTTTTTTTTTTTAAATTGAGAATCTCTTTGTTGTACTCAATACTTTAGCGTTTGCGCCTGTGGTTTACACTCGCTTCAGCAGAGTTTATTATGATTTAGCAAGTTTTGATTTTAATAGGTGTCATTAGAATATTATTATTGAAATATATACATTTTTAAAAATATATACAATTATTTATATAACAAAACATAAAACAAAATTACCGAAGAAACAAAATCAACAAAAATAAAAAATACGAAGACAATCAAAACAATATAGAACAAGTCAATTGTACAAAAATACGAGAATTTTAAAAGAAAGTGAAATCACACTTACTAACAATAAGTAATTAGACAGTATCCTAAAACGCGCTATTAAAGTTTTTTATTATGAATGTTTATTACTGGCGAACAATTACCATCGAGTATGCACCATTGTCCATCCACTTCTGTATGCTGTATGTACGAGTCCTCTATGGTGGGGTCGTAGTCTGTCACAAACAGCTTCTGGAAGAACTGGATGGTGATTGCACTCTTGCCAACGCCACCATCGCCTACCACCACCAACTTCACCTGCAAATTGAAACACCAAGTTATGTATAACAAATTTATCTATACATTTAGTTTGTGGAACGAACTATCTGTCGAGGTTTTCTCACGAGACTTACAGTATGGGGTTTATCAAGAAGGTATATTAAGGTTTTTCAAAGGTCGACAACGTACATGTGACACCCCTGGTGTTTCAGTCGTCCATAGGCTACGGTAACCATTTACCATCAGATGGGCCGTATACTTGTTTGCTGCCATAGTAGTATAAATAAATACATAAAAATTACATGTCAGATTGTTTGTCCGCGATGGACTCACAAACTACTGAACCGATTGCAAATTTAATTTGCACATTGTGTGCAATTTGATCCAACTGAAAGATTAGCTTACATCTCAATTTATAGTCGCAATATTATTACCTTAGCCACAGTAACGCGTGGCAGGGTCTGCTAGTACCAATCTACACATATAAATAAAATTGCAAAAACTGTTTTTTACTACATGCATATGAATATAAATACGGTACATACACCTAAAATAACATTTTTTACAATTTTTGTCTGTCTGTCTGTTTGTTCCGACTAATCTTTGAAATGGCTAGACTCACGAAAAATGGAGTCACTTAGGCTACTTTTATTTTAGAAAAATATGTATAATAACAGCAAGTCTAAAACTACAATTTGTAGTTTGTATACTGTAGATAAAATGACGCCCATTCAAATATTTTTCATAAATAAGAAATCATTCTACTATCCTCTTGAAATTAATCAATCTCAAGGTAAATAAAGTAGTATGTAGTTATATGGACTGCGAACAGGGATGAATGGAAGAGAAAAACATTACGCCGACCACAAATAAATGGGACAAGTAAGGAGCTGATGATGATGGAGTTACATGGAAAAGGGGTGAGGTTATTTCCCTGCTAGATCCCTTGAACCCTATCAAAATGTAACATTTTAAACTATTTTCTATTGCCACGTTAAAATGGAAAATCTTGTACAAACATTAAATTGCGACCATTGTGAATAATTTCGTAGACAAGAGACAACTTATAGCGGATAGCTATCTCCCGAAATGCACCGTTCGGTTGCCAGCCCGCTATCGCTAGTTTCCAGACACAGAGCAGCGTACATCCGGTATCTATTAATGGACAACTCGAGCTAGCCCTGCCATAAACTTCACTTACAATATCATTTTGATCATTTACGAAAGTCCTTCTATAGATGTGCTAACTCGTAATAAACATAACTCGAGTAATTTGAAAAATCCGTTGCAACTCTGCTGAAACGAGCGTAAACCAGAAGCGCAAACGCTAAAGCATAGAGTACATTAAACAGAAATAATTAAAAAAAAAAAAACTCGAGTTAACTCCAGGAATAAACAGTTTTTTTTATATATTTATTTATTATTTTTTCGAACAATTCTAATGTTTTTGGGCGCAGCTAGCCTTGAAAGTTTCACCGAACTTTAGGAAAGCCGCGGAAGGACTTCTGGAACTCATAATCATTTTAATGATAACATAACCGGACGAATATGCGAAAAAAAAATGATAACAACCTCAAATCAATATTGAAACATTTGTGACGAGTGAAAATTGTATGATATGAAATGATCGGAAAATTTCATGTCATTGTCGGTTCGACGACAGAATCATGTTCTCGCCCTTTCACTTGATTCGTTCATTTACCAATTGAATACTTCCAGTATTCAATTGGTAACTAGAGTTGGCAGAATTCAACTCGAGTTAACTCGAATTTACCGCAACTAGAGTTAACTCGAGTTAGTAATTCGAGTTGGCACATCTCTAAGTCCTTCAGTTATGTTTTATTTTACTGTAAACAGGTGGTCAGCAGGAAAACAACCTCAAACATTCTAAAGGATATAAATATAGGCTTAGCACATACACAGTCACTGTCTTTGAATATCGACATTACACTGCATGTGGAAATATTAAACTTCAGCTCTGAAAACAAATAAAAGCCACTTAATAGAGAAGCAGAGTACCAATAACCATGAAAAGAATAGAAAATCATTTATTCAATTAAACTTAATTTAAGCACTTTTGAAGAGTCAACAATTCTTTTTTAATCTACCGCTTATTCGGAAAGCTCAAAGTTCGGAAGTCTCATCACAAGAAGAATAAGCAAGAAACTTGTGAGTTGCTCTTTTAAACAATCCTTGTAAGTTTCCATTTTACAAGTCGAAACGTGTGAATACAAACTACCAACCATCACTAATTTATTAGGGTCAAATATAAATACACATTAAGATTTAATCAATCGTAGTGATAAGAGCAGACCACCAGCAGCACTCGTTCACGAGTATGACGGATGAGTCAGCCCTCACTGCGCTCGACCATATTTTAGGGAGCCCTATGACCCGGCCCACCACGCCGCCACATGTCTGGACATTTTAGTGCGCATGACTACTCATTCCACTCGACATCGTCATAGCTACTTTAATTTATTATATGGTAGTTACAGTATTCGCACTTTACATAAGGATGCATGCGGCAAGCAATACAAAAGCCGCTACGCTATCATATTTCTATAACGCAATATGAAAAAGAAATTATAACGTGGTCCGCTAAAAACTTTATTCTTGCTAGATATTGTTTCATGAGATTATTATCAGAGATACACTCAGACCTCTGGGAGAAAGGGGATTATTAGTAATGTGGACTGATGATCTTATTGTTACCAACTACAAAGTTTCATCAAAATCTGTTCAGTAGTTTTTGCATGAAAGAGTAACAAACATCCATCCATACTCACAAAATTTCGCATTTATAATATTAGTAATATGTATGTATTTAAAAAAACATGCATTTAAATATTGATATCAGTTGTCTAGTACTCATAACACAATCTGCTTAGCTTGGAACTAGATGGCGCTGTCTGAATTGACAGGTTTGCTAGCAATCTACCATGTCAGGTTGACCACCACGCGGTTCCGTCTGGAATCCATCGTGATAAATTCTTGGTGAATTTGTCACGATGGGCTAACTGACCTGACCTCATGCTCATCTTATCATCCTCCACCGGTGCCCCGCCAGCGTAAACCGTTAGCGCAGGCCGGTGCACCATACCATGATCATAAAAAAAAAACTGTTTATAACGTACTCTGTGCAGTTGACAGTCTGTATTGTAAAATGGTGGGAGCACCATTTCATTGTCATCCATAAAAAAACACTCGGACCTCAGTTCCACCTATTTTGAGTAAAGCAACTTGCTTTGCAGCATGTTCTGATGATGTACATAGTGCTCGTTCATGCATATAAGAGACGGTCACTGTTTACCATCAGGTGGATCAGCTAATTTGCTATTCAAATCTATTAACAGAAATGTTACTTATCATTACATAGTATAAAACAAAGTCATGTCTGTCCGTCCCTATGTATGCTTAAATCTTTAAAACTACGCAACGGATTTTGAAGCGGTTTTTTTTTTATAGATAAAATGATTCTAGAGGAGTGTTTATATATATAATACTTGTACCTACACTCGGGCGAAACCGGGGCAATTAGCTAGTAAGTTTATAAATTTAACTTTTGATAATTCACATATTTTTCATTTTACAACTTATTCTGATAGCTTTCTCATCATAAGAAGAATGAGCAAGAAACTTGTGTGTTGCTCTTTTATATAGATGTTGTTCAGAATTATTTTTTAAGAATTTTGTGCATATACAAACTGCCAAATAGCAGAATTGAAATATATAAATATTTACTTGAGTAACAAAATTAAATTTATAGAAATAGAAATAATCTTTATTCAAATATACTCATTACAAGCGCTTTTGAATAGTCATTTTTCGTTCTACCACTCATTCGGAACGCAGATTCATCACAAGAAGAATGAGCAAGAAGAAGAAACTATAATAAAACTACACAATGAAAATCAAATAGAATTTATTATAAACAATAATTTCATCAATATTCATATTGATTAAATACAATCAAGTATAAGCATCACATAAATTTCAAACAATCAAGCATAAGCTGCCACCTAATGACAATGCCACTGCACTCAATAATAGATATAGATAGATAGATAAATTATTTATTCACCAATTACAAACACAGCATACATGCAGTACAGAAAATATACAAATAAATAAAACAAAGGTGACTTTATATGTCGCAAAGGTGAACAGGCAACCAACTCAACATAAGCCACACAGCCACAGATAAAATTAGAAAAAAATAAGTCTGCAGCTCTTATATTCTGTGGCTTTTCTGTGGGCCTTTAGACTTACTAGTACTGGAGGCATTTGGTTTACACTGTATGATATATTTTGGGTGTAACAAAACACAAGCACATCTATACATACAAATAAAATTGGAGTGTCTGTTTGTAATATTGAAATAACTGTTTTTTACTACATGCATATGAATATAAATACGGTATATACACCAAGATAATATTTTTTACAATTTTTGTCTGTCTGTTTGTTTGTTCCGACTAATCTCTGAAATGGCTGGACCGATTTTGACGGGACTTTTTTTTGGTAGGTAACTGATGTAATAAGGAGTAACTTAGGCTACTTTTATTTTAGAAAAATAAAGTTCAATTTCATATGGACATAGTCAAGGAACAGCTAGTATTATATATAATAAATTTGAAATAAAATGAAGTTATTTAATTGATAGTTGATACAAGTTATAAAGTACCTACCAAATAGTCAAATCTTTCAGCATTTTATCTATATACAAAAACATTTTCAAATTTTGATTTATATACATTTCATTTGCAGCTGTTATATAATACAGCACTCATATATGAATATGTATGATAATACAATTAACACTATCATGTGACTTCAACAAAATGCATCAGTTTTCAAATCCAAATGCATGCAGTATGAATAACACAAAATCACAAAATTAATAAGTATAGTTTAGAGAATTATACTTAAGAACTTGCAAACAAAAACATCATATTTCTAGATAAAACAGGTTAATATATATGAAATATATATGCATAAATGATATAATGAATTATGTTAAAAATTTAACATAATTTTCAGTTTCAATTTTAACATACATTCAATTTATTTAAACAAATTTAATTACTTTAAACTAATTAAAGTAATTTAATTCTATTTAATAACTGTATTGTAACATGATTATTATTTAGTAAATGATATATAAGTCAAGATAAGTTTTAAGATTAAGTGATTGATGTTGCATTCAGTTTGGAAATATTAAGTCAATAAAATTAAATCTTAAGACTAACCATATAAGATTTAATTACTGTTGAACCTATCAATATATCTATAGATTGATATTTTAACTGAAAGCGTACGTACCGTGGGTATATTCTCGTTAGGAGGGCCGGGTCTCGTCATGTTGAGATGCCGCTGTGAACAGCCACCACCGCTTTTCTTTCAAACACCAGCGCAACCCGATCATGAGATATTATCTGGAATATCACCACCAATTTGATAACATAGGCGACTTGCTTAGCTGCCAATTGGTACTCGAGCCGTCAGTAGTTGTCTAGTCAGTACGTGGGCGCCTTTCGTTTCAACACAGATGAACGTCGCTCGGTCGGTAATTATTCGAGTTTGATTCGCAAAGAAAACTTCAACTCACCTCATTGTCGTTATTTCTGTTCGTTGTGTATTCGTACGAAGCCGTAATGGTCGTGACAACTATTTAAAATATGTAGAAAACAAATATTTTGTAATGTCGAAGAAGGAATTCGTCGTAAAAAGTTAATTGATCCTTGACATTACAGAACGACTTGACAGTGACAATGACAGTTTCGATATTCTTGACTGACATCTGCACAGATTAAATAGTTTGTTTTCACTGTAATTTTGTTCCCAATTTATTTGATTTTTCCTTGAACAACAGACTGTTTTTTGGATCTTAAAACTAAAAACAATGTGGGGTGAGTATAAAACAGTATTTTATAAATTATTTATTTTTATGTAATCGACAGGGCTATTTTTAAGATAACATAGCTATATATAATTCGAGCTGATAATGTAGTGCCTCTTTATATTACCTGAATATAACACCTACGTGAAATGAAATGCAAATATTCAAATAATATTTTTTTTATTGGAGGATTTGGGCTATTATCAGGTGCAATGACCTGTAACACTGCGACCTGTATAGATCTATTGTGCTCGCCCTTATTCAAAGTTCGCTACCTGGACCCGTAAGGGACAAGAATTGAAGGATATTCTTAGGAGCGATGGTTTTTATCTCCTCAGGATTTCGATTATGCATAAGAGGACTACAGCCACATAGGATGTGCAGTGGCATTTCCTCTTTTGCTTGGCAAAATCTGCAGATTGATTATTTGATATAAGTGTGAATAAATATTTATCGTATCTTACTATACATTATTTACGTGTGGACGGTTCCATTCATAGGAAAGAAAAAACTTAATTAACTGAACGGTAAAAATGATTTTCTAAATATGACAAACTAAAATCTTTGTGTCGTAGTTGTCTTATAAGCCTGTGGTTAGGGATTCAATCCCGCACAATGCAAATAAGTGTATTTATGAGCTCCTATATATTGATGAGCTATGAGATATTTATGTATTTACACAAATAAGTACAAATTGATTGCTGCAAATACTGATAGTGTGATTAGGGCTTAATTTTGTACTAGATGGTGCTATATGACTCGTATATTCGAAAAACATTTGATGACTTTCAATACTTTAAGATCAATAATAATAATAATAAGGTACCTTCAAGACTGTGAACCCAGATGGGGTAGTCAGAGACTAAGCGCAACTGGCGAGCTCGTTCCCTTCTCTCGAATTAATTTGATTTAATATCACCGTTTCAATTGCCGGAGGGTCGGGCAGGATCGAACACAAATATAAATTGACTTACAATATTTTAGGTGCCGTCCGGATACGAACTTAGGACTATTGGGTCTAAGTGAGGGTAGTAAACTATTAGATCACGATGCTCTTAAACAAATAGCAATATTATTATATCACAGTACATAAACCGTACAATTAACTGGTAGAAAATACACTTTGTTCGAGGAAGAAACTCATTTGAGTGGGGTACCTCAGTCTCACCTTTGTCACTCGCCAGCCAGCTTACTTTGTAAGTTGTGCTTATGTGGTTAAAGGATGCAAAAGTCAGCGAAATAAAGGATTGAAGCTATCTGCCGTCCTCTGTGGTCTAGCGGTATAGCACCCCAGTTTACTTTCGATGGTCGTGAGTTTGAGAAAACAAACCAATTATCTGTCATCAATATATCGTGATGATTACCAGGGGAAACCGTGTGGAGGTCAATCTAACATGGTACATTGTTAGTAAAGGTGTTATTACTCATAATCGCCTTCCTCTGTACAAGCGACTCTTGCCACTTACCATTTCAATTACATAGATTGTAGAAAGCAAGAAACCCCTAAAAGTAGGGGAGCAAGGAATTATTAGTAATGTGTATAACCCTATTGCTACAAACCGTGTCTTGTTGACCTCAACGCGATTCCTCTGGAAACCATCGTAATATATTCACGGTGAATTTATCACGATGTGCTATCTGACCTGACCTCATGCTCATCTTATCATCCTCCACTGGTGCCCCGCCAGCGTAAACCGTTAGCGCAGGCGGGTGCACTATTCCATTATCATACATAAAAAAAATTCCTTAAAAAAAACATTTATTCATGTGGGACATTTTAACCGCTTATGAACGTACAATTTTTATATTACATTTTTTTCCCTACCGACTCCTTATACCCTTCCTTACTCCGATACCCTTCGGAATATAGATCCAATTGAGAAGAACAGGCAAGAAACTCAATTCAATTACTTTGTTTTAAAAGCCAGTTTATTTACAATGTATATTTATATAGGTGTCTATGTCTAACATTAAATGAAAATCCAGTGCATTTGTGCACTATTGCCAGTTCGGAATATAGATCCAATTGAGAAGAGCAGGCAAGAAACTCAATTGAATTACTTTTGTTTTTTAAAAAGCCAGTTTATTTACAATGTATATTTATATAGGTGTCTATGTCTAACATTAAATGAAAATCCAGTGCATTTGTGCACTATTGCCAAATATAGATCCAATTGAGAAGAGCAAGAAACTCAATTGAATTACTTTTGTTTTTTAAAAAGCCAGTTTATTTACAATGTATATTTATATAGGTGTCTATGTCTAACATTAAATGAAAATCCAGTGCATTTGTGCACTATTGCCAGTTCGGAATATAGATCCAATTGAGAAGAACAGGCAAGAAACTCAATTGAATTACTTTTGTTTTTTAAAAAGCCAGTTTATTTACAATGTATATTTATATAGGTGTCTATGTCTAACATTAAATGAAAATCCCGTGCATGAACAACTATTGCTATGCACGCTCGTCATGTTCATCTTAACCTCAATAGGTGTCTCGCCAGCATAAACCGTTAGCGCAGTCGAGTGCACCATTCCATTATCATCCCTAAGAAAAATACCCCTAAATGTATCATCACTGCGATAATCGGTCGCAGGTGCAGTGACTTTACTCGAACACTTTCGCGATTTATCACGGCCCTCTCTGAAACTAGCGTGACAGCGGGACGGGATCCTATAAATACGTTTCACGCCCTCATACAACATGCATAGACACGTGTTCCGCGATGTGCCTAAACCAGGCTATTTGTATCTACTGAAATATTGCTGAAATTACGTGAAACATTCCACCTGAAGCGATGCTGCTGAGGGTGGCTACATTTTTGTATAAAACAAAGTTACTGTCGCTGTCTGTCCCTATGTATGCTTAAATCTTTAAAACTACGCAACGGATTTTGAAGCGGTTTTTTTAATAGATAGAGTGATTCAAGAGGAAGGTTTATAATAATAATAATAGTAATCTCAGGACAATTCACACAGCGCCATCTAGTCCCAAGTTAAGCTAGCTAAAGCTTGTGTTATGGGTACTAGATAACTGATACAAATACATAAATATTTTTTTTTCGTAAATACATACATATTATACATAGAAAATACCCAGACCGATACAAACAATCATACTCGTGAATACAAATGTTTGTGCCGTGCGAGGAATCGAACCCGCGACCATTGGACATAAAGCGGTGTGCTGGACCGCTATACCACCAAGGTCGTCTTATATATATAATACTTACATACAGGGGCGGATAGTGAAGTTGTGATACCCTGGGCTTTAGAGTCCTATCTGATTATATTACTCAACTAAAAAAGTACACCGACCGACACAAGCGACCAGAAATTTTCTTCTTTCGACAGACGCGCACTTGCATGAGTTGATTGATCTCAGGGTTGCCAACTTTATGATAATATTTTTTATATTCTAAATATCGTTTGAGTGGGGACTGGTGGCCTTTGTATCCTCGGGGCCCTGGGCTGCAGCCCTAAAAGTCCTTTGGTAGATCCGCCCCTGTTGATACCTTCTATATCCTTACAAATTTAACGTAATTTACATTATTTATACCGTCATGCTCGTGAACGAGTGCTGCTTGTAGGGACTGGTCTGTACTTATCACTACGACTGATTTAATCTTATTGTATATTTATATTTGGCCCTAATAAATTAGTGCTGGTTGGTAGTTTGTATTCACACGTTTCGACTTGTAAATTTGAACTTACAAGGATTATTTAAAAGAGCAACACACAAGTTTCTTGCTCGTTCTTCTTGTGATGAGACAGCTTTCCAAATGAGCGGTAAATAAAAAAAAATGTTATGACTATTACACAAAAAGTGCTTAAATGAAGTTTATATGAATAAATTACTTTCTATTCTATTCTATTCTATAATCGCACTAATAATAAATACTCTCTCGTAGTCGCTTTACCAGCCACTGAAGGTATACTGGAGAAATATTCATGAGTTAAATTATATGCAGATGTTGTCTATCCATATGTGTAATCCAATACACCGGATCAAAGCTGCAACCCAACAAGCCGGCCATGTGGAAATGATTTTCGATAGTGCATCGCTCATCTTTCATAGTCATTACATAGTATAAAATAAAGTGGCTGTCGCTGTCTGTCCGTCCTTAATGCTATACTTAAATCTTTAAAACTACGCAACGGATTTTGAAGCGGTTTTTTTTAATAGATAGAGTGATTCAAAAGGAAGGTTTATATATATATATATTTATATATATATACTAGCTGTCCCGGCAAACGTTGTTTTGCTTTAAAATTAAAAAAAAAATTTAGGGGTGGACTACCCCTAACATTTAGGGGGATGAAAAATAGATGTTGGCCGATTCTCAGACCGACTCAATACGCTCACAAAATTTCATGAGAATCGGTCAAGCCGTTTCGGAGGAGTATGGGAACGAAAACTGTGACACGAGAATTTTATATATAAGATATATATATATATAATACATGTACACCCGTGCGAAACCGGGGCGGCTGCCCGCCTAGTTACATATAAATAAACTAGCCACCCTAAAATAGGGGGTAGGGGATTATTAGTAATGTGGATCCCATTGCTAGCAATGTACCATGTCAGGTCGACCTCCACGCTGTCCCCTCTGGAAACCATACACGATGGACAAACTGACTAGACCTCATGCTCATATTAACATCTTCCAATAATGTACCGGCAGCGCAAACGTTCCATTGACAAATAGAAATAATCTTTATTCAAATAAACTTAATATAAGCATTTTTGAATAGTCAAGTTATTTGATTCTACCGCTCATTCGGAATACAGACTCATCACAAGAAGAATGAGCAAGAAACTTGAGTATTGCTCTTTTAAATAAATATTGATTTGTTTATATTTAATTAATAACAAGGATTAGGCATGCGACAATCAACATGGAACCCGACGCACTTAATCTCTGTACAGAAATAAAATACACCATAATCCCTAGCTGTACTTCGTCCGCTTGGAATTTAACTTAATTTTCTATTTGTTCACGGTGA